TTAATCTGATTTACTTGCCTTTATAGGTAACATTCCTCTTTTCCCTGGCTGCTTTTAGGATTCTCTCCTTGTCTTTGATTTTGGAGAGCTTGATTATTATTATATGTCTTGGTGATTTTCTTTTGGGGTCTATCCTTCCTGGCATTTGCTCAACTTTTTGAATGTTTATCTTCTCATCCTTCAGGATGTTTGGGAAATTTTCTTCCAGTAGATCAACTATCTCCTCTGTGGACTTCTATGATTCATCCTGTTCCGGAATGTCAATAATTCTTCAATTATTCCTCTTCATGTTATCCACAATGAATTTTAGACTCTTCAGATTTTTTTATCCTTTTTTCTGCTTGCTCTTTTATCTGAGCAGTAATAAGAAATTTGTCTTCAGTTCACTGATTCTAGTTTCCATCTCTTCAATTCTTCTCCTTTGCCCTTTTAGTGTGTTGTCCATTTCTGATATTTTATTATTAATCATCTGGATCTCTTTTTAAAAGTTTTGAATTGTTTCCAATGCTGGGTCAATCTTGTTTGATCGCTCTTGTAGTACTTTCCTTACTGCTTCCTTATTTTCCTCGACCCCTCTGTGGAGCATTTGAATTTGTCTTCCTATTACTCTTCTGAATTCCTTCTCAGGCAGATCTAAAGCTTGCTCTTGTTCTAGTGAGGAGTCTATGTCAGCCTCCAGCTTGTTTGTCTGTTACTCTTTTCTGTTTTTGGACATGTGCTGAGATCTTTTGTTTTTTCTTGAACATTTTCAGTAATTAGGTGGGTTTTTAATGATTAAATGAATGTATGCTGCGGTGATGTTAAGCTTACTGAGTGTTTCCTAGTGGATGTGATCAGGCAACAGACTTCCTTTTTCATGTATAATGCCTAGCAGCTGGTATTTGCTCTTGTCCAGATGGTGGGATATTTTGGAATATGCTTGTACTGTATCTTCTTGGGCAATGTAGGGGGTGAAAGCTCCCACTCCCAGGAAAAGGGTGAGACCAAAAGTACCAAAAACAAACAATATAAAAGTAGATATAAAAACCACCACTCAAAAACAAAAATAAAACCATAACCGACTGTCCAGTAGCCTTTGTTGCACAGGTCAGTGATCATCACTATAGAAACCTCCAGCAGTGGGTGGGAGTGTTCACTTGCTCAGGTGCCTCCTCTAGTCACCACCGTGGAGGTGTGCAAATAGATATTGAGTAATGAATGGAAAAAAGATTATCCACTATTTTTACATCTGAAGGTCAGTTAGGTGTTGGCATGTGCACGGCGAATTCTCAAAATAGCTGCATCCTTGTGTGTAGTAGTTGGTGTTGGCTCTTGCCTTTTATACTGGGATTTTATAGGGTGCTCTTACGGTTTGGCTGTATGGCCAGACCTGCTTTTTCTTGATGGGTAGGCAGGAATAAAGGGTCCCATCCAGGTCAACTTTAGGGCTAGGTTCCAGAGTCAGACGTCATAAGAAGCCGCCAAAGGATCAGCCCGTGGGACCAATGAGGCTCCTCCCATGCACCTCATCACTGTATTGTGGGAAAACTGTGGGTGCAATGCTGAACGCTTTTGGGGGTGCGCTCCCACCCACCTGAAGGTGTCCGGGCTGGGCAGCGAGGGTATGACAGCGTAGAGGAGGAACGAAAAGTGAAAAAAATCCATCACACCTCTTTTTCCAGATTCCACTCCACGGTTTTCAGCGCTGTATCTGGTAGCGCAGTGGTTACGAATAGGGCTGTGAACCTTAAGGTCAGCAGTTCGAAACTACCAGTCACTCCGCAGGAGAAAGATGACATTTTCTGTCCCCTTACAGATTTACAGCCTCGGAAACCCTGTACAGGGTCGCTATGGGTCAGAACTGACTCAATGGCACTGAACAACAACAACAATATTACTGTACCAGCCTGGCTGTGGTCCTGCCCTCTGATCTCATTCCAGGCCAAGAGGCCCTGTAGGGAGCATCACAATCAATTCTGCAATTGCTGTATATTCCTTTCCACCATCAGATTTCTCCACTGGTAGGTGTGAGAAACTGGTGCCCAGCAACTTATACAAGATCTAAAACTTTGGGGCTGCTCTGGGAAGCGCCATCTCTAGTTTTTCTGCCCCTCAGCTGAGGAGCCTCTGCTACATGTCTCTGCTTCAACCACCCCCAACAAACAAGACCAAAAAAACTCATACTTTTAAAAGTAATTTTTACAAAGCTACCAAACATAAGTAGCAAAATTGGATTTAACTACTAAAAATCAAAGAAAACAAAATGAAAAACCAAACAAAAAACTAAGGTTATCAAGTTCATTCTGACTCAATGTGACCCTAACAAGCCAAAATACAACTGCCTCACAGGGCTTCCAAATCTGTAATCTTTACAGAAGTAGACAATTACATCTTTCTTTTGTTAGCGGCTGAGAACTTAGCCACAGCACCACCATAGCTCCTGATTTAACAATAGGAATCACTATTTTTTTCCTTTTTCTTTTTTTTAATTGGGAAGAATAGAAGATACCACCACTCAACAAATTTCTTAGTCAAGAGAACAAAAGTGAAAATGCATGTCAAAGTACAATTCTCAAACTGTTTTTTGTATTATTTTCTTAGATATAAACAAAATATTATACAACTAGTTACACTAGCTTTGATCATTGGTCTTTTCTCCCAAGGACTCACTTGTGGGTTCAAAGAGCTGACCTTTCAGCTAACAGCAAAGAACTTATCAACTGCATCATTAGGACTTCTTTTATATAAATACATCTTCCAAAAAAAGAAGAAAAAAAACCCATATTCCATATGCATCTGGATGTATATGGAGTCCTGGTGCGGTGTTGCAGGATAAGCACTAGATCACAAGGCTGGTTTGAACCTAAGGTTGGCACTTTTAACTCACCAGCTGCTCCTCGAAAACCCTATACAGAGTCTCTATGAGTTGGAACAGACTCAAAAGCACTTAATTTAGGTTAACTAGAAAAACAACCTGCCTAGCACATTACTCTGTTTACAACTGTCAAATCTACAAGAGCAGCTTGAAAGACTAGACAGACTCTTAAGGGGCAGTGACTTTCTGCTAATGAGGGAGAAAGCAACTTAGCAAAGGAAGGAAAGAATGGTTGCACAGCTCAAAAATAGTAATTTACAATATAATCAATAAATTACAGAAATTTTACCTTGTAAAAGTTTCCATATGACTTTCGGATATTGATCCACTTTTTAGCAAACAGAGGATATTTGAGCCTGCTGAGCTGGCACTGAATGTTTAGGAATTTACTCATATCCCAGGAACTTGTAAATAAAAAACAGGAAAAAAGTGGATAAATTCAATACTATTTTTACAAACAATTATTTTAATTCATTCTATTTGTTTTGAATTTCCACAAGCTGGCATATGTTCTCATACTGACACATAACACCAAACTTTATTAACAATTCTCTGAGGGTATGCTTTGAAATAAAACAAGAATCATGAAAGGCACAAAAGTAGCAGGTAACAAGTAGCCAATACAATCTTTTCTCTACAGCACATGCTTTTACAACTAACGTAGGTGATTCTGTAGAATATTGACTGTACAATGTGAGAAATGGGTTGGTTCATACATGGTTTTTCCTAGGCAAAGAGCATGAGAAATAATGGCAGTAGAAATAATAAAAGTCTTCAATTCAATTGCTAAACTCATATCAGGACTACTTGCAATTTTATTTTAAGCAAAATTTTAAAAAGAGTGTCTGCCTCAGGATTTTATTGCTTTCATACATTTTAAATATTCTTAGGAAATTTCCACCTAATCTGAGCTGCAAGCCCAGGACACTCAAATTGTTTTTGGGAATATCAGTAATTGCTTTTGTTACGCTCAGCTTACAAAATTACATAAGTTTTAAATGACCTGTCCCAGAAAGCAAGATTTTTCCTGAACTGCTAGCATTTTTGGCAGAAACTATCTGTATATTTGAGTAGGAACAGATCTCCTTTACATACAAATCAGTAACAGATTTCTAAAGAAGTTCCATCAGTAGTTTCACAAACTTACTTCTACATAGAAATATAATTTATACAATGAATGTTATATAACTATGATGTAATTATTCTTTTCTTACTGAGATTCTCTAGACCCTTTACGTAGGTGAAAATTCAGTTTTAGAGTATAATTTGTCTATTGTTTGACAAAAAGTTGTAAAGGTCTTTCTTCAACCTTAATGGCATTATACTATAGGCATCTTGAAATAGACTATTATCTTTCTGATCCTTGCATTTAGTTTTTCATTGAGTAAATGTTTACTGAACAGACTTTGAGTTCAACATTACAGTAAGATGTATGTAAAACTATTAAGATCAAAATTCCACACTCTAAAAGAATTTGTAATCTGGCAAAAATAGTTTACATCATAGAAGAAATGATCAACTATCATAGGAATTTTTCTTCTGATAGAAAAAATAAGACTTCAGGAGGGGAAAAAAGATCAAGATGATTTCAAACATCTGAGGATTTGAAAAATGATAAAGACAAAATTGAAGAAAAGGACCTTTCAGTAAGAGAAAAGCAGAAAGAAGTACACAGAAAAAAGATCAACCATGGTAAAAGCATGGACCAGTCTGACTTGGCGTAAAAAAAATGCAAGCAATCTGAACACTATGGATAGTCATCCCTAAGATGAATCTGCTGTTAAATGCAATTAACTCGGAGTTAGTAAGGTCTTATTTAACCTTAACTTTAGCGTAAGAAACCCTGGTGGCACAGTGGGTTAAGTGTTGGGTTGCTAACCAAAAGTTCTGTAATTCACATCCACCGTCCACTCCATAGGAAAAAGATGAGACAGCCTGCTTCCATAAAGATTTACAGACTCAGAAACCCTATGGAGGAAGCAGTTCTAAGCTGTCTGTCCTACAGGGTTGCTAAGAGTTGGCATTAATTGTACAGCAGTGAATTTCGTTTTGGTTTAGTTCAAATAAAGACTCAAAGTCTTTTCAATTATTTATAAGGTACACATGCAGCAAATGAAGGTGATTTTAATGAATTTACTGTGGTGGGGGGAGGGTTCAGTGGCTTCACTATTATTAGAATGGTGGTTCAATCATTTCAATATTATTAAAAAGCTACTATGAGTTGTTCTTGAGAGTCTTGGTGTGGCACTGTAGGATAAGCACTGGACTGCTAAGCACAAGACTGGCAGTTCAAACCTACCAGCTACACCTTGGAAACGTTTTGTTGTTGATAGTGTTGAATCAGCTCAGACTCATAGCGAAACTATATACAACAGAATGAAACACTGCCTGGTCCTGAGCCATCCTCACAATCATTGCTGTACTTGAGCCCACTGCTATTACACTGTATCAATTCATCTCGTTGGGGGTTTTTCTCTTTTTCACTGACCCTCCACTTTACCAAGCATAATATCTTTCTCCAGCGACTGGTCCCTACTAGCAATATGTCCGAAGGATCAGAGATGAAGTCTGCTCCTAATTTCCAAGGAGCACTGTCTGTACTTCTTCCAACACAGATTGATTTGTTCTTTTGGCAAATAGTACTTTTAATATTCTCTTCCAACACCACACTTCAAATTCATCGCTTCCTCAATGGTCTTCCTTATTTATGGTCCAACCATCACATGCACATGAGGTTATTGTAAATACCATGGTTTGGAGAGAACAAACAAGATGGCAGATCGGGTAGCAGTGCATTGAAGAGCTCTGTCAGCAACAACACAGAACACCAGACCAAGCAGGCTCAGGGGATGGTGCCAGAACTCTGAACCACATATAAAGGAATATTTAGAAGGTTTGAAGGCTCACACTAGGGGAATTTGTAGCAGAAGCAAGAAATCCATTGCTTTCTAATTCAAGACGCTCAGCTGATCCCAGAGCAACCAATGTGGGAGAGACAAAGCAGCGGAAGGATCAGAGCAACCTCGGATGCCTGACAGATCCAAGGAGATAAAGGTGCAAACATTCTTTTCTTTTTTAATCTGTTCATTAGTCTCTCGCTGAATGAGCACCTCCATTCTGTTGAGTAGAAGGGATGCCTGAGTGAGTGGACACCCCACCCCCACTCTTGGAGGGTTCTACTACACATGAACACAGATCTCCTAGATATCTGAAGTGGCAGTTTCCATTTAAAACCAAATGGCAGTACAAAATGGCCACAGCCGGCCATGTTTATCACTAGGAAAAAGGCCTGAATAGGAATTGTGGAACAGGGCAGGCAAAAATGGAAATAGGCCAAAAATTAAATCCTGAGTTACGTCACAACGATCAACAGTGGCATCTTGAAATTTCTAAGGAAGAAGAGTGAAAAGGAAAGCCTATCTCCTGATCACATCTACCTGGAGGCAATCAGAAAGCGTAAAAAATACAAAAATACAAACCCATCTAAATATTATGGCCACAGGTAAATCCTGAATATGTCCAAAACCAGAAAAAGATGACCCATATCAGCACATGTCCAGAAACGAGGTAAAGTGACTGAGACAAATGAGCTGGAGGGAGACGTACACACCATACTGGAAAATGGGCAGGCTTTGGAAATGCCTGAGAAGGAATTCAGAAAAATGATTATAAAATGTATCAAAACACTATACAATGGAGGTGAGAAAAATAAGGATGAAGTCAGGAAATCACTTCAGGAACAATCAAACAAGATAGATACAGCATTGGACACAATTCAAAACCTACAGAAAGAGGACCAAATGATTAATAATACAATATCAGAAATGGACAATACTCTGAAAGGGCAAAGGAGTAGAATTGAAGAGATAGAAGCAAGAACTAGTGAGCTAGAAGATAAATCTCTCAACACTACTAAGATAGAAGAGCAAGTACAAAAAAAGATAAAAAAAATCTAACGAAGGCCTAAGATTCATCCATGAAGAGGAATAACTTAAGAATTATCTGCATTCCAGAACAAGAAGAATCACACAAGTCCACTGAGAAAACAGGTGAAGAGTTTCTGAAAGAAAACTTCCCTAACATCTTGAAAAGTGAAAAGATAAGCATTCAAGAAACTCAACGAACTGCAGGAAGAATACGCCCTAACAGATAATCACCAAGACATATAATAATCAAGCTCTCCAAATTCAAAGATAAGGAAATGAATCCTGCAGCAGCTAGAGAAAAGAGAAATATAACATACAAAGGCAAGCAAATCAGATTAAGCTCAGATCTCTCAACAGAAACCATGCAGGCAAGAAAGCAATGGGGAGATATATGTAAAACCCTGAAAGAAAAAAACCTGCCAAACAAGAATCCTCTCCCCAGAAAAGCTGTCAATCAAATACAATGGTGTAATCAAAACATTCCAGGATAAACAGAAGCTAAGGGATTTTGCCAAAGCCAACCCTGCTATGAAAAACATCTTAAAGAAATTTTGTGGACTGAGAACCAACAAGAAGAGACAACAACCAGAGAATGACGTACGTGGCAATATGACCCTGAACTCAATCGACAAATGGAAGAGTCAAGAACAAAATAAAATTATAAAAACAGAGGATCTGGGAAGTCAGTCTATAATCAAAACATTCATAATGTGAAAGAAGGTAAACACATAGGAACAGAGATCCAGGTGGTGAGAAGGTCAGGTAGAATACAGGATAAAATAGACTGTCTAAAATGGAGGGATGAGTTAATGGAATATAAGATAACCAAAACAGTGGGGTTGGGTGGAGGGTTTTAGTTCAGGTGTTGGGGAGGGCAATACAAGAAGGGGGAGGAGGCGGAAGAACAAGATAGATAAGGGAACATTGAGACAGGTTTGCATGTCCTAAGTGGGACAGAGATAAATAGTGATACATGCTAAAACTTGGAACAACAGGTCTCTGTGATACAGGGACCTAGGCAAAGCATGAAGAGGGGAAAGAATACTAAAATGCTTGAGTGTCTTATGAATACTGGTTTTCTTTGCCTACTATTTAAAAATAGACACGAGTGGGATAGAATGAAATGTTGGGAAACATGATTACAGAAAACTTGTAAGCCCGTCTTCAGCCTTCAACTGACTGGAATACCAAAAAGGGGTTCTAGAACATAACCAGTGAAATATG